GAATTTACTAGGAATTTACTCAGTAATTTATTAAGAATTTACTGGGAATTTACTGAGTAATTAACTGAGAATTCACTAGTAATTTACTGATTAATTTACTTGGAATTTGCTGAGACTTTACTTAGTAATTTGTTTGGAATTTGCTGAGAATTTACGCGGAATTTACTCAGTAATATACTGAGAATTTGTTGTGTAATTTACAGCAAATTTACTGGGAATTTACGGAGTAATTTACTCAGAATTGACTGGGAATTTACTAAGTAATTTATTGATAATTTACTAGGAATTTTTTGAGAATTTACTGGGTATTTACTTAGTAATTTGCTGATAATTTACTGGGAATTTAATCAGTAATATACTGAGAATTTACTGGGAATTTACTGTGAATTTACAAGTAATTTACTAAGAATATACTGGAAATTTAATGAGTAATTTTCTGGGAATTTACTGAGAATTTATTAGGAATTTACTTGGAATTTACTCTATAATTCACTGAGAATTTACTTGGAATTTTCTAAGAAATTTTCTCATAATTTTTACTAGGAATTTTCTCATAATTTACTTGGAATTTACATAGAATTTACCTGGAATTTACTCAGTAATTTACTGGGAATTTACTGAGTAATTTAATGAGAATTTACTGAGTAATTTACTGAGAATTTTTCTGGAAAGTTACTGAATAATTTACTGGACATTTAATGAGTAATTTATTGAGAATTTACTAAGAATTTACAAAGTAATTTACTGAGAATTTACTGAATAATTTATTGAGAATTTACTAGAAATTTTTTGAGAATTTACTGAGTAATTTACTAGGAATTTACGGAGAATTTACTAGGTATTTACGCAATAATTTACTGAGAATTTACTAGGAATTTAATGAGTAATTTAATGAGAAATCACTGGGAATTTACTTAAAATTTACTGAGTAATTTACAGGTAATTTACTAAGAATTTAAAGGGAATTTAATAAATAATTTACTGGAAATTTTCTGAGTAATTTACTGAAAATTTACTGAGTAATTTAATTAGAATTTACTGGGAATTTAATGATAATTTACTGACAATTTACTGAGTAATTTACTGATAATTTACTAGGAATTTACTGAGTAATTTACTGGGAATTTGCTGGGAATTTACTTAGTAATATACTGGGAATTTACTGAGTAATTTACTAAGAACTTACGCAGAATTTACTGATTAATTTACTTATAATTTTCTTGGAATTTACTACGAATTTACAGAGTAATTTATTGAGAATTTACTGGGAATTTACTGCGAATGTACAGAGTAATTTACTGAGAATTTACTGGGAATTTACTGAGTTACTGGAAAATTGCTGTGTAATTTACAGAGAATTTACTGAAATTTGCTGATGTCACGACCCCAAACCGCCCCTAGTAGTTTGGTGCCGTGATGGCCAGTAATCCGTAATTACCGAAGGCCAACTTACAAAATTCACACACAATCAGAGTATTTATATAGGGGGCTCACAAATGCGGAAGCAATAATTCAAGATACAAGTGGTCCATAAGAGCAGTGCATAAGTCAAATGAAATGGCATACATCTTTACATAGCTTTACAACTTGAATACATAAAGAAATGAAGTACAAAATACATATCACATCTTAACGAAAGGGCTTCTCAGCCGACATGTTCAAATACAAAAGCTTCAAGATTGCCGACGTCCTCACTGCCGACATAACATGCATACAAAACACACATCTCGGCGTAGCCGACTTCTAACTTGTTACCTACATATATACATAGGGAGGGTGAGCTTGGATACTCAGTGAATGATATAAGTAATAAAGGGGTAAATGAATGATTCCCGAGGTTCTTGTCAAAACAATACATATATCATAGCTTGTTCAAAACATGGGATGAATCAAGTTCATCAATCAAATCTTGGTCTTTCAAATCTTGCTTGGGATGCTAAATAACATCTACATAATACATGGGGTGATGACATTTCGGACAAGACAAGGGAATAATCGACCCGGAATCGATTAGACAAATCCACCCGTTCATAGACCGTCGGTGGGGCCATCCGTTCATAGACCGTCGATGACAGAGATCTCTCAAACATGGTGCTACATGGGCTTAGAGTCCCCTAGCATGGGAGGACTTTCCAAGAATGTCATCCAAAACAAAGCTAATTACTTGATACACAAAATAGAGATAATCATTCATGCTTGATCAAATACTTTTCTAAAACGAAGCAAGGCTTTGTCAAAACTTTATAACATAACTTTATTAAAAATACCACTCACTTAGTTCTTGGGACGTCGGGATCAAGGCAAAGGTCCAAGTCCTACAAACACATGGAAAAGTCTATTGAACGCACTCTTAAAAACAAGCTTCACATGAATGCAAATGATCTAGGGAAAACATGCTGAAAACATCTAAGGGAAACATGCTGGAAATCATCTAGGGAAACATGCTGGAAATCATCTAGGGAAACATGCTGGAAATCATCTAGGGAAACATGCTGGAAATCATCTAGGGAAACATGCTGGAAATCATCTAGGGAAACATGCTGGAAATCATCTAGGGAAACATGCTGGAAATCATCTAGGGAAACATGCTGGAAATCATCTAGGGAAACATGCTGGAAATCATCTAGGGAAACATGCTGGAAACATCTAGGGAAAACATGCTGGAAATCATCTAGGGAAAACATGCTGAAAATCATCTAGGGAAAACATGCTGGAAATCATCTAGGGAAAACATGCTGAAAATCATCTAGGGAAAACATGCTGGAAATCATCTAGGGAAAACATGCTGAAAATCATCTAGGGAAAACATGCTGGAAATCATCTAGGGAAAACATGCTGAAAATCATCTAGGGAAAACATGCTGGAAATCATCTAGGGAAAACATGCTGAAAATCATCTAGGGAAAACATACTGAAAACATCTAGGGAAAACATGCTGGAAATCATCTAGGGAAAACATGCTGGAAATTATCTAGGGAAAACATGCTGAAAATCATCTAGGGAAAACATGCTGAAAACATCTAGGGAAAACATGCTGGGTACCAACCAGGTCCTGGAATGGATGCACAGAGATGATCTAGGCTAAAACGACCTAGCTGGGTGAACTCAGGAGGTCTTGGCCGAGGTCCCACACCTCTTGGCCGAGGTGTGGTTACCTAGGCTTCAGTATGTAGCTGTCTGCCGAGGTGTTACAAGGTGCCGGCATGGGTGTACCATGGTCAACCTAGGTGTGCAGTGGTTAGCCTAGGTGTGCATGCAAGATAAACAAACGTGCAAGTGATCATGCAAGGTAGACCAAGGTGTGTGATCTAGGCAAGAGTGGTCTCGGTGATCACAGCTAGGGAAATGAAGCTTGGAAATCTGGGTTTCCTCCTTGAAGAACATGAAGAACATGAGCATGAAGAACATGAAGAACATGAATGCTAAAATCATAACTTGTTATTACAAGATCTGGGATTTCATGACATGAGTTCGAAAACATGGACCTGGGTACCCATACTTGAAAATCATGTTGACATGACCTAGGCTTGACATGACCTAGGCTTGACATGACCTAGGCTTGACATGACCTAGGCTTGACATGACCTAGGCTTGACATGACCTAGGCTTGACATGACCTAGGCTTGACATGACCTAGGCTTGACATGACCTAGGCTTGACATGACCTAGGCTTGACATGACCTAGGCTTGACATGACCTAGGCTTGACATGACCTAGGCTTGACATGACCTAGGCTTGACATGACCTAGGCTTGACATGACCTAGGCTTGACATGACCTAGGCTTGACATGACCTAGGCTTGACATGACCTAGGCTTGACATGACCTAGGCTTGACATGACCTAGGCTTGACATGACCTAGGCTTGACATGACCTAGGCTTGACATGACCTAGGCTTGACATGACCTAGGCTTGACATGACCTAGGCTTGACATGACCTAGGCTTGACATGACCTAGGCTTGACATGACCTAGGCTTGACATGACCTAGGCTTGACATGACCTAGGCTTGACATGACCTAGGCTTGACATGACCTAGGCTTGACATGACCTAGGCTTGACATGACCTAGGCTTGACATGACCTAGGCTTGACATGACCTAGGCTTGACATGACCTAGGCTTGACATGACCTAGGCTTGACATGACCTAGGCTTGACATGACCTAGGCTTGACATGACCTAGGCTTGACATGACCTAGGCTTGACATGACCTAGGCTTGACATGACCTAGGCTTGACATGACCTAGGCTTGACATGACCTAGGCTTGACATGACCTAGGCTTGACATGACCTAGGCTTGACATGACCTAGGCTTGACATGACCTAGGCTTGACATGACCTAGGCTTGACATGACCTAGGCTTGACATGACCTAGGCTTGACATGACCTAGGCTTGACATGACCTAGGCTTGACATGACCTAGGCTTGACATGACCTAGGCTTGACATGACCTAGGCTTGACATGACCTAGGCTTGACATGACCTAGGCTTGACATGACCTAGGCTTGACATGACCTAGGCTTGACATGACCTAGGCTTGACATGACCTAGGCTTGACATGACCTAGGCTTGACATGACCTAGGCTTGACATGACCTAGGCTTGACATGACCTAGGCTTGACATGACCTAGGCTTGACATGACCTAGGCTTGACATGACCTAGGCTTGACATGACCTAGGCTTGACATGACCTAGGCTTGACATGACCTAGGCTTGACATGACCTAGGCTTGGCATGACCTAGGCTTGACATAGCAAGGAAGGAACAAAGCATGCATACAACACTTAGGGGAAACATGATAGCATCAAGACAAAACAAGAACCTTTACTTAGGCAAAACAAGTCCAAGTCTACAAATGCAAGCTTAACAAGACAAAATCATGCAAATGTACATGAACATGACTAAGACATGAATGTGGGTTATTACAGTCTACCCTCCTTAAAGAAGTTTGGTCCCCAAACTTAACTTACCTTGTCCCCAAAATAATTCCGAAAGTCGGATTCTCATCTCTTCTTATCATCTCTAGCCTTTACCTTGGGACAATCCTTAATATGATGACCCATCTCACCGCATTCAAAACATGCTCCAGATGTCCGATGAAAAACTCCAAAATGTTGCCTCCCGCAACTTGTACATGTCGGCCTGGTGCCACCTTCCTGGTTCATATTGTTGGAACTGTCCACATTTGTCTTCTTCTTGGCATCATGCTGGTCTTGGCGATTGTCATAGGTCTGCCTCTTTTTCTGATTCTCCCCTAAACTCTGACTACTGTTCAAGTTGGCTTCTGCAAGGATGGATTTATCTAACACTCCAGCATACGTTAGCATGTTAAGCAAATTAACCCGGTCTTGAATTGGCCCTCGAAGTCCACTCTCAAACTTGCGAGCTTTCCTGTATTCGTTGTCGACCATGTGAGGTGCATACCTTGCCAACTCGGTGAAAGCACGATCATACTCCGCCACTGTTTTGCTACCCTGGGTTAACATCTGAAATTCTGTGGTTTTGCGATCTCGGACACTAAGCAGGAAATGCTTGTCATAGAACAGCTCCAAAAATCTGGCCCAAGTCAAGTCTGGGTTACCTTCTCGGATCATCATCCACCATCTTCGAGCGTCGTCTTCCAAAGTGAATGCTGCTAATGACACTTTCTGAGTGTCGGTGCTGGGAAAAACCTCGAACAACTTCTCCATCTCAAGAATCCATGCTTCTGCCTTCATCGGCTCTATACCTCCATGGAACTTTGGCGGTTTCATCTTCTTGAATTCTCTGATCAGGGTCAATGTGTCATCTCTATACAAAGCTGGCTGCGGAGGCACTTGTGGTACTGGAGGTGGTGGAACTACATGTCGGCCATCTGTCTGCTCGGCCTGGGTGGAGGTAGTACCGGTGTTCTGCTGCCTTGCCTGCCCTAATTCATCGGCCAAACTTTCAACCAATCTTTCCAATCTATTTATTCTGTCCTCGGATTGATCTCGGCTAACTGGGGGTCTACCTCTTCTCATGATGCTGTGGGTATGCAGGATGTGACTCTTAGAATAAAATGAACAGATGAACGTGTGTGCAAGTGAACATGATCATGCCGATGTAACAAAATGCTCATGCCGAGATAATGCACACCTTGTCAAGTAGCAAGCAACATGATGCAATCTTAACATTCTTCTAAGGGACATCCTATGCTCTTTACGACTCAAAGTGTGTGAATAACGTACTATAAGGAACGCGTGCTCTGATACCATTCTGTCACGACCCCAAACCGCCCCTAGTAGTTTGGTGCCGTGATGGCCAGTAATCCGTAATTACCGAAGGCCAACTTACAAAATTCACACACAATCAGAGTATTTATATAGGGGGCTCACAAATGCGGAAGCAATAATTCAAGATACAAGTGGTCCATAAGAGCAGTGCATAAGTCACATGAAATGGCATACATCTTTACACTGCTTTACAACTTGAATACATAAAGAAATGAAGTACAAAATACATATCACATCTTAACAAAAGGGCTTCTCAGCCGACATGTTCAAATACAAAACTTCAAGATTGCCGACGTCCTCACTGCCGACATAACATGCATACAAAACACACATCTCGGCGTAGAAGACTTCTAACTTGTTACCTACATATATACATAGAGAGGGTGAGCTTGGATACTCAGTGAATGATATAAGTAATAAAGGGGTAAATGAATGATTCCCGAGGTTCTTGTCAAAACAATACATATATCATAGCTTGTTCAAAACACTTGCGAGTAGCAAATTCCAAAGCATTTTCGAAATGAACGGATATGCAATGTTTCTTTCCAAATTAGGCAATCTAGTCTATACTTAT